CAGCCTCCTCATCATCATCATCATCAGCATCATCGTCATCAGAATCATCATCATCAGCAGCATCATCATCACCATCATCCTCATCACCATCACCATCACCATCGCCATCACCATGGTCATCATCAGCAGCATCATGATTTTCATCACCATCAGCATCAACATCATCATCACCATCATCAGCATCTTCATCCTCATCAGCAGCAGCATCAGCACCATCATCGTCTGCATCATCAACATCAGCATCCTCATCGTCGTTCTTATTATCCTGATCATCATCCGTATGTTCATCAGCATCGTCACCACCATCACCACTACAACCACCACCACCACCACCACCACCACCACCACCTCCATCATCCTCATCCTTATCCTCATCCTCGTCATCATCATAACCACCATCATCATCACGATCGTCATCATCATGATCATCAGCATCAGCATCATCATCATCCTCATCATCCTCATCATCATCATCATCAGCAGCAGCAACATCATGATCATCATCGTCATCATCAGCGTCATCATCAGGCGTCGGAATGCGGGGGGATGCAACAACGAAAGCCTGGACGTGGGGATGCGTACTCCCGCGTACTCCCGCGTACTGCGGACGGCCTCTGCCTCTCCTGCGCGGGCGGCTCCTCTCCAGGACGCGGTTCGCGAAGTCCTCCAGGGACTTCTCCCTCCTGCGGCTCGGTCGCTCCCCGTCCCGGAGGCGAGGGCATCGCCGTTGCGGGCAATACTTATATACATATCCAGAGCGTCTTGGACTTTTTGAGGTCGGGTGCCGCAAGGCCGAGGCGCACTGGATATGGACAATAATCAAGCCTCTTGGGACCGGATGTTTATCCATATCCAGTGCGCTTCTGCTTTCTGGGGAAGAGAGCCCCAACCTCCAAGACGCACTGGATGTGGATATGAGTACTGCCCGCAGCCGTCGTCGTCATCATCAGTCCCGGTGGGGAATTGAAGGAGGAGGAGGGGGAATCGGCCCTGTCCCGCCAGAGACCACCTGCCGGCCGAGCACTGCGAGGCCCGCGGCCGCTCTCTCCTCCGAGCGAGGTGGGGAAGACGGAGGAGGAGGCAAGACGGAGGAGGAGGAGGAGGAGGAGGAGGAGGAGGGGGAGGAGGGGGAGGATGGTGGAGGAGAAGGAGGAGGAGAGGGAGGATGGAGGAGGAGGGGGTGAGGAGGAGGAGGAGGAGGAGGAGGAGGAGGAGGAGGAGGAGGAGGAGGGGGAGGAGGGGGAATCGACCCTGCTCCACACCTCCCGGTCCCCCCACCAGACGTGCCGCTGGGGCGGGCGAGGCGCTGCGCCGCCTCGCCGCCCGAGACGCCCCGAAGACATGGAGTGTCCGACGGGCACACGGAGGAGGAGCAGGACGTGCTCAAGCTGGGGCTCTCGCCGCGGCCCCGCGCATGGTGCCCAAGGTGCCCCTCGCATGAAATAGAATGCCCATGGCCCCCCCTCCGCCTCCGCCTCCGCCTCGGCCTCGCCTCCGCCTCCGCCTGAGTGGTGCCCCGCCTCCGCCTCCGGCCTCGCCGCGCCCTCCCGAGTCGTTTCTTGACCTCCCCCGCGGCCCGGCGAGGGCCCCCCGAGGCCGCAAGCCGCAAGCGGCCAAAACCCCCCCGCCCTGATTCCTGTTGCGGCGCCCTCACGTCTGCCCCTCTCGGGCGCGGGGGCGCTCCCACCCTCTTGGTGGAGGCCGCTGCCCGCCCAGGTTGACGCGGAAGGAACAGAAAGGCCAGGGGTGGGCGGGCGGGCAGCGAGAGCCACGCGTCCACGCTGGAGCCAAAAAGGCCGCGGACGGTGTGCGAGTCTGTGTGCCCGCCGCATGGTGCCCGAGGTGCCCCTCGCATGAAATATGATGCCCATGGCCGCCCTCCTCCTTGAGCAGGGACCGACCGTCCGGGCATGCCTATAGTCCTACCACGAAATGTTCTTAGAACCCAGAAATGTTCTCCTAACAAAAACAAGGTCCTTAGAACATACACCCGATATATCAAACAGGACAGACTCCGCCAGACATGCTCTCAGAACCTTTCGGGTGCACCACAGCAAAAGGTTCTTAGCACATTCTGCTGGTAGGGCTGCAGGCGAGCCGGGACGCCTCGCCACTGCTTGACCTCCCCCGCCTCCGCCTGCCGCCTCGCGGCACCCTCCCGGCGGGCCGCGGCGGCCGCGGCGGGGGCGCCTCTGCGCCTCCTCCCTTGGCACCTGCCGCGCGCTCCTCCGCCCCAGGACGCCGGCATCCTCGGCACGGGGCCGGCGCGCGCGCGGGCACGGCCGGGCACCGCCGGCCGAGAGGAGAGGGAGGAGGCGGGAGGGAAGAGGAGGAGGAGGAGGAGGAGGAGGAGGAAGCGGGAGGGAGGAAGCGGGAGGAGGAGGAAGAGAAGGAGGAGGAGGAGGAGGAGGAGGGGGAACAGGAGGAGGAGGAGGAGCAGGAGGAGGAGGAGGAGGAGCAGGAGGAGGGAGGCGTCGTCGACGCAGTCGCCGCCGGCGTCGTCAGTTGGGGACCCAGACATCGGGCGTCTCGAAAAAAATGAGACTGAGGTTTTTCGTAATGTTTGGCCTCTCGGGGCTCTCACCCGGCTTCGGGACCGTCAAAAAACACTCGGGATGAGAAACCGGTCCTGGGGAAGTGGTCGGGAGGTCGGGGGCCCGTGTCTCGAAAAAATCGAGACGTCGGATGTGTGGGGGAACGAAAATAAACATAAAAACTCGGAGGTCCGCGCGGACCTCCAAGTTGTTTTTATGTTTATGTCATCATTCGTTTCCCTATCAGCGCTATTCCGTCTGGTCGCTCTCCACGATGTTCGCAGGCAAACATGGGAGACGAAGCTGTTGCGCACCTACGGTGCTGGAAGAGTGCGATGAATGCCAACTTATGCCTCAGGGCGACGAATTGTTGCGAGTACCTCCGCGCGCAGCGGTCAAGGGAGATGCAACAAAGGCGGTGGAAAGTAAGGAAGACCGAATAGGCGCAAAGTATGCGCGCCGATGTCCGTGACGGGGGTGATGGAGATCATGACGACCGCAAAATTATACAACGTTCTCCACGACCCCTGCTCCTCTTTCTCCCCTTCTGCTCCTCTGACCTCTTGAGGCTCAACTCCCCGCGCTCGCCCTCCCTGGGCCTTATCGGCCAGAGCAGCTCAACGGCCTGCTCAGATCGGAGCAGTGGACCGACCGGCCCAGGTCGAGCGAAGCAGTGTGACGAGGTGCCGGCGGTCGCCGCCGCCGCAGTCGTCCTGGTGGTCGTTGTCCTGTGGGACTGCTACATCGCGACAAGAAGTGCACCGGGGAGACGTAAGACCTGGGTACGGGGGACTCGGAAATCCCCGACGAGGTCGTCAAAAAAATGACGAGGCCGAGCCTGCATTTTGACGAGGCCTCCCGCTGCAGACATCCCACAAAACTCCTCCTCGTCAAAATCCGAGTCGCGGTCGTCAAAAAACGATGGCGAACCCGAGTCCCGGCAAACCCGGGTCTTACGCTCCCCCGATGGGAGGCGTTCCCCCAGTCGCACCTGGGGGGGAGTCAGCATTTGGACCCCATGGGCAGCAGAAAAGAAGAAAAGAGAGGCCCACGGCGAGACGACCACAGGATGGCCGACCGTTTCAGGGCACACGCCACGAAAAATCCCACGGCGTCGAGAGTCTGGGCCCTTCGCCTCCACGATTGAGGCAGGATCGCGAAGCTGGACGACGAGCTCGATGATCTGTTTCTGAAGGACCGAACTGACCTTCCTGCCAGCCCGCACCATCGATCCTCCCTGCCTCACCCCCCCATTCTCTCGATCACCGCCCCTGTGTTCCCCCCCATGCCCACTTCAGGGGATACGGGTGGTGCGATTTATGCTTTCCAACAGTCATACACACACATCTATACATATATATATATATATATATATATATATATACACACATATATATATACATATATATGTATGTGAAAATGTATATATCCCGCTGGCCCCCTCCGGGGGCGCAAGGCTGCGAAGGTTTGTGCGGTCTTCTGTCATGTGCTATGTGTTGTCGTTGTTGCTTGGCCTTGTCTCTCCAGTCCTGCTTCCTGCCTCCTGTTTACTGCCTGCTTGGGAGGCCCGCCGCGCCACCAACAGCCAACAGGGGGGGCTGTACCTTAAATCCGAGCTGCTCCGGGCCACCCCAGGGTTCTCATGGTGACGCCACCGCTGGCCAGACCAGCCCGAGAGGTCTCGAAGGTTGCCCGACGAGGTCCCGAAGAGAGCCTCGGGAGGCCAAGACGGCCCAAGATCCAAGATGGCCCCAAGATGTCCAACGATGGCCCCAAGAAGGTCCAAGATGCTCCAAGACGGCCTAAGAGGCCTCCCAAGAGGGCCCTACGAAGCCAAAGTCAAAGAGTTCCCTGACGCTTTTGACGGTTTGTGGCCTTCTCGCCTTTTCGACTTTCCGACGCTCCGAGACAGACCAAGAGGTCCCCAAGATCGCCCAACGACGGCTCTAGAAGCCCCCATGACGGCCCAAGAGGCCCCCAAGACGGCCGAAGATGGCCCCAAGACGGTCCAAGAGGCGCCCCAGACGGCCCAAAAGGGCCCTAAGACGGTCCCACGAGAGGCCCAAGAGGGGGTCCACGAACCGAAGACTCAACCTTTCCGCCCCGAGAGGGCCCCAGCAGGAGGCCGCAAGGAGGCCCCCAGGAGGCCCCAAGAGGCCCCCAAGAGGCCCCCGAGAGGCCCCAAGGCGACCCCCAGGAGACCCAAACGATGGTTTCCAAGAGGCCCCGAGGAGACCCCCACTGGCCATCGCTCGGACGTCCATTCCCTGTGTTTTTTTCGGTTTCGTGCGTGTTTTTTTTCGCCAACTGATCAAGGATGCTCCTCGATGGTCCTCGTCGAAGGAAAAATGCACACGTCCGAGCGATGCCAAGCCCAGGAGGCCCAAGGAGACCCCCGAGTGGCCCCGAAGAGGCTCCAGGGAGACCACCAGGAGGCTCCAAGGAGACTTCTGGCGCAGCCGCCCGCACCAGTAGAGGGGGGGCGGCGGCAGAGGGCGAAGCACCTTCAGAAATCAGACACACACATATCTATATAAATACATATCTATATATATATATATATAGAATGTACACATACATGCATACATCCATCCATCCATACATACCTACATGCATGCATGCATGCATACATGAAGGCATACAAACATACATGCATACATACATGCATACATACATACATACATACATGCATGCATGCATAATTACATGCATACACGTGTATGACCATATGAATATACATAAGCACACACACACACATGTCTATATATATATATATATATATATACAATCATACATACATGTATACGTTACGTAGCACCCCGCACCTGCGTATAAGAGCGATGGGGCGGCGAGGGCGTCATGAGTCTGCGGGGCCCTGAAGAAAACCGCCGCAGGCGCCTACGTTTCACACCTTATGCAGCGAGCCCGCCACAGGCGCCAATTTTCTCGTCATAGCAATGTGGGTGGATCGCGTGGTGGGTCGCGGGTGGGTCGTGGGCGGGTCGCGGAAGGGTCGCGGGCCGGGTCGCGGGTGGGTAGCGTATGGGTCGCGGTCGGGTCGCGGGTGGGTTGCGAGTTGGGTGGCGGGGTGGGTCGCGGGGTGGGTCGCGGGGTGGGTCGCGGGGTGGGTCGCGGGTGGGTCGAAGGGGTGGGTTCGCGGGGTGGGTCGCGGGGTGGGTCGCGGGGTGGGTGGCGGGGTGGGCTGCGGGGTGGGTCGCGGGTGGGCTGCGGGGTGGGTCGCGGGGTGGGTCGCGGGGTGGTTGCGGGGTGGTCGCGGGTGGGTCGGCGGCGGGGGGGGGGGGGACGACGACAACAACAAGCATAATCCCCACCACGGATCCCCACTTCAGCCACGCGCCCAGAGACAATGAATGACCACTCGGCCCCCTCACTTTGATATATATATATATACACGTATATATACGTGTATATATACATATATGTGTATGTACACACGCACTGTGCACAATCACTGTGACGCAACATATGTGGTGCAATGTATGTGGTAAAATGGGATGTGTAAACTGCGTTGCGCAATCCATGTGGTGCAGCGCAAGTATGTACAATTATACGCACATATATATGTACGTTTTTATATATGTACATACGCATATGTCAGTTATACATATGGTAATATATATATATATATATATATATATATATATATATATATGCGTATATATACAATAAATTTATATGTCGATCCCTCTGTATATACGTATATACACGGATTGGGCAAACATTGCGGCGCAATATATGTGTCGTGCATCATACGTGGCACAATCTGTACTGTGCGATATACGTGTACCGATATATGTGGTGCAGCCGATGTGGTGAAATACATAATGTGCAACCAATGTGGTGCACTCTACGCTGTGCCAAGTATGTGGTGCAATCACTGTGGTACAACATACGTGGTGCAATTTCTGTTCGCAGCGAGTTGTCCACTCCATTACTCGCGCAAACATCCCAACCACCCACCCGCAACTTGGTTTTCGAAATCTCTTAAGACCGTGACGGTGGGTACCAAATGGCACTTGGCAACAACGACAGCGACAACGACGACGACGACGCCGCCGACAACGACTACAACGACACCGACGACGTCTCCAACGACTTCGAGAATCCTCTGCAAAAAATGGGACGATGTGCAGACGCGCGCGTCGTCGCGCGCGTATGCCGAAAACCTTCAAAACCCATCGGTGTCGGAAGGATTTCAAAATCGTGTGTCCAAAAAACCTACAAAAACCCAAGGTTTCGCAACACGGATTTTCAACAAAAGCGTGCGCGCGCGATCTTGCGTCGTCGTCGCCGTCTTTGTCGTCGTCGCCGTCCTCCCTCCTCCCGCGTCGTCGTCGTCGTTGTCGCCTACGTCGTCCTCTGTCTTTCCTCGTGTTCGTCGTCGTCGTCCTCTTTGGCGTCGTGGTCGTTTCCGTCGTCGTTGTTGCCGTGGTCGTCCTTCCTCCTCCTCCCTCGTCGTCGTCGTCGTCCGTCGTCGGCGTCTCGTCGTCGTCCCTCCTATTTCGTCGCCGTCGTCGTCGTCGCCGTTGTCGTCGTCGTCTTCCCTCCTCCCTCGTCGTCGTCGTCGGCGCCGCCGTCCTTCCTCCTTCTTCGTCGTTCGCGTCGTCGCCATCCTCCCTCCTCCCTCGTCGTTGTCGTCGTTGTCGTCGGTGTCGCCGTCGTCGTCCTTCCTCCTCCCTCGTCGTCGTTTTCGTTGGCGACGTCGTCGTCGTCTTCGTCGTCGGCGCCGGCGTCGTTGTCGTCGTCTGGAGACGTCGTCGGTGTCGTCGTAGTCGCCGTCGTCGTCGTCGTCGTCGGCGGCGTTGACGTCGTCGTGGTCGTCGGTGTCGTCGAAGTCGTTGGAGACGTCGTCGGTGTCGTCGTAATCGGTGTCGGCGGCGCCGTCGTCGTCGTTGTCGCTATCGTCGTCGGCGTCGCTGTCGTGGCCAAGTGTCATGTGGTACGTACCGTCACGATCTTGTCTTAAGAGGTCTTGCGACCAAGTTGCGGGTGGGAGGGTGGGATGTCTGCACGTGCAGTGGAGAGGACAGCTTCAATACGGTCAAAGATTAATTGCACCGCATAGATTGCACCACATAGATTGCGCCAGAGAGATTGCACCACATGAGTTGATTGTACCACATATCTTGCACCACAACGATAGCACTACATAGATTGCGCCACATACACTGCTCCATATATAGATATATACGACAACAGATATTGCTCTAGTTAGGTTGAACAGCATATATCGCTCCTCATAGATTGCAGCACATCGGTTGCAGGACAGATATCGCACAACGTATACTGCTAGAAACACATTATAGGGCCCACACTAGCTAGCATGTAATTAATACTCATCATCGTCAGCATCAACAACATCATCATCGTAATCGTCGTCGTCATCTTCTGATTCATCCCCAACATCATCCTCATTATCGTCATTATCATCACCACACTGCCACTGCCATCACCACAATCATCGTAATCATCGTCACAACCACCATTATCGTCATCACCACTACCACCACCACCACCATCCACCCCCACCACCATCATCATCATCATCATCATCAGCATCATCATTATCATTATCATCATCATCATCATCATCATCATCATCATCATCATCATCATCATCATCATCATCATCATCATCATCATCATCATCATCATCATCATCATCATCATCATCATCATCATCATCATAGTCATCATCGCCATTGTCCTCGCAGTCCTTGTCGTCGACGTTGTCGTCCTCGTCGATCGCATGCGACGCCCAAGGGGGCTACTGCGCTACCCTATGAACATGCATACGGACCGCTGGCCCAGGCGCGAGAAGAACGCTGGACGAACAGGCGACAGCCTCCTCCCTTCCCCCGTCTCCTCCATCCCCGTCCTCCTCCCCCTCTGCTACACGCCCCGTCCCAGGAGAGCCCAGAATCGAATCGACAAGTCGGATCGGCGATCGACATGAATCGGATCGGCGGCACTCGGCAGCCACATCGGGAGAATGCGGATCGGCGGAAATCGGCAACAAGCTGGTGGGCCTCCATCGAGAAATCGGAGTCCCGATCGGAATCCGAAGCCGAATCGAATCGGAACCTGAAGCCATCGAAATCGAATCGAGTCGGATCGGAGGAATCGACACGAGCCCTGCTGTCCCTGTCCCCTCTACCTGCCCCCTCTCCCTCATCCTTCCACACCCATCTCCATCGCTCAAACTCTCCCCCCTGTATCCTCTGCCCGGAGTCAAACTGGCTCATCCTGCCCTCCTCTCCAGAGATCCAGTGCCTCGATTCGCTCAACACGGAGGTCCTCCGAATCCCGACTCTTTCCCCGGGGCCGGCTCTTCTTCACGACTTTTTTCTCCGACGGCCCCGGAGGCCTGTGAGGGCCCCTGGAGGATGGAAACTAGCCGAAAACATCCGCACGTGACTTTCTCACAACGCGAAGAGGTACGAGACCGTTTTTTTGTTTGAATCGGCGATAACCCGGGCTATCCCGGGGGGGGGAGGAGGGGGCCGGCCGATAACCTAACCCTCTCGCGCGGTGGGCAGCCCTGCATACGCCCGCGCCCCCTCCCCCCCGCGGGCCCGCACAACCGGCAAGGTTAGGTTTTATCCCGGGGGGGGGGGGGGAAGGTGGGGGAGACTGGGGGGAGGGGAAGGGGGGGGGGGGGCAAGCCCGAGAACCCGCGTTATCGCCAGACCCTAAAAAAACTGCCTCTATGGGTCCCCGCGTCCCCTTCCCCATCCTCGCCCCCCGCCTCCCCCAACCGCCCCAGACGACGTCGTCTCCACGAGCGGCGTTCGCTCCTGCATACCCACGCTCGCCAGCGCCTTGTTGAGCAGAGCCGGCAGCGACATCTCGTCCTCTCTGGCGGCGGAGATGCGACCACGACCAGCTCAAGTGGAGGAGGAGGAGGAGGAGGAGGAGGAGAAGAACGAGGAGGATAAGGAGGAGGACGAGGAGGATGAGGAGGAGGAGACGGGGGAGGAGGAAGAGGCGGAGAAGCAAGCGCAATCTCGGAAGCAGAGGCAGCGAGACGGAGGCCACTTAGGCTCGGCCGACAGGCGAGCGCGTCAGGGTGCCTCACCACTGCTCTGCCCCGACCTTTGACGTCATCGAACAACAACACTGTATTTCGTTTCTTCCCGTCGCATCGAACAGAAACACAACACCACGAGAAACGACGTCGCTGCAACCGAGCGGCAGATGACGCTTCTCTGCCATCCGAGGAGCCCAGGGGCACAGCTGCCGCGGGCTGCCTTTCCTTTCCTTTCTTTTCCTCTCATTTCCTTTCCTTTCCATTCCTCTTCTCTCCTCTCCTCTCCTCTCCTCTCCTCTCCTCTCCTTCTCCTCCTCCCCCTGGGGAAACCAAAAGGTACCGATACCGCTACTCCCCAGTGCCCCAGACCTCTGCTGGGGTGCGTTCTGACCAGACCGTCGAGGCGAATCCAGCAGTGGCGACGAGGAGGCCCAAAAGGGGAGAACGGGGCAAGGGTAGCAGTATGGGTGCCCTCTCCTCCGCCTCCTCCGCCTCCTCCTCCTCCTCCTCCTCCTCCTCCTCCTCCTCCTCCTCCTCCGCCTCCTCCTCCTCCTCCTCCTCCTCCTCCTTCGTGGGGCCCCCTTCCCCTCAGTGGGAGAGACGGCGGCCCCGCACGCCTCGCCGCCCGGAGCCCCCGACCACATCCGCGGGCGGCCTCCCGCGACGCAGAAGCGAGGGCGCCCCCGCGGGGGCCCCCCGACGCGGAGGCGAGGCGAGGGGGCGCCCTCCTCGCGCTCCTCGCCATCGACGCCCCGCCTTCCAGCCGCTGGTGGCGCCAGGCTGCCCAGACGCCTGGACGCCCCCGGCCGCAGGCCGAGGGAGTTGACTGCAGAGGTTAAAGCAACTTACCAGCCTGGAACATGTCCCTATCCCGAAGCTGGGCATCGCCTCGTCACGATGCCAATCTTGGGGGGTCCCTTCGTTTTTCAGGGCGCATCCCTGAGATTCTCATCGCCTTTTGGCGTGTCAATCTTAGGGATAGGGGTAAGTTCGAGGCTGGTGAGCAACAGGCGCCAGGCTGCCAGGCTGCCCAGACGCCTGGACGCCCCCGGCCGTCGGCCGAGAAAGTGGACTGCAGAGGTTGAGCAACAGCCGCCTTGCAGTCAACCCCGTGGACTGGCCATCGCTCGGACGTTCATTCCCTGTGTTTTTGTTCGGTTTCGTGCGTGGCTTTGTTCGCCAAATGATCATCGGATGCTCCTCGATGGTCCTCGCCGGAGGGAAAACGCACACGTCCGAGCGATGCCACGTGGAGGAAGGGCGCACGGGGAGGATGCCGGGGCCTCGAAGGCCGTGCCGGCACTCCGCGGGCGGGGCGCGGCGCCAGCAGGAGTCGGCGAGCATGGGCGGAGGAGGCACGGGCGCAGGGGCACCCCTGGGGGGGTGGCCCCTCCTTTCGGGGATGGACAGACCCCCCTTTAGCAAAACGTGGTTTAGTGAACACGACCTGAGGCCCAAACCTGGCGGGCGCAAGCCTGGAAAATGACGGCCACGGCGCCCCCTCGAGAACCGAAAACGGACAATTCACTAATCGACGTGTCACTGCTTGGGGTTCTGTCCAGCCCCGATCCTTGCTATGAGGGTTGACTGCACAGGGGTGAAGATGAAGGGGCCCTGGGACACGCACAAAGAAATACACACACATAAAAGGATTCCCCATATGTTCCCCATATGTTCTGGGTGTTTGTCTTCCCCCCACTTCGCATAGTTTCCCATATTTTCTAGGGAATCGACGATTCATTGTGTCTGTGTTTTTTCTCCTCCTGAGAAGACACAATCACCCTAGAGCAGCCTCGTGGCCACTCTGGACGCCCCGCCCCATCCCCCCGCCGCCAAGGCCCTGTAGATCCAGCGGGGACCCTTGGAGGCCTACCGAACGGGGCCCGAGCAGATGGGGCCCGAGGATCGCATCGCATCGCGGATGCATCGGCGCCGTCGGCGTGGAGAAACTCGGGCTCCCCACATCGAGCCGCATCATTTCAGCGCACCCCTCACACGTTTCGTAGCCCCACCGGGGACTCCACCGAAGGCCCCAGTGGGCGGGTCCACATGCGTCTCCCCGCACCATCCGGCGCACCCCTCACACGTATCGTGGCCCCATAGGGAGCTCCCTGCAGGCCCCAGTGGGAGGGTCCGAATGTGTCTCCCCTGCCCATTTCGGCACACCCCTCACACGCTTCGTGGCCCCATGGGGAGCTCCACAAAAGGGCCCAGCAGTGGGAGGGTCCGAATGTGTCTCTCCTGCCCATCTCGGCGCACCCCTCACACGCCTCGTGGCCCCATAGGGCATAGGGAGCTCAACAGAAGGGCCCAGCAGTGGGAGGGCCCACATGCGTCTCCCCGCTCCGTTTCGGCACCACCCTCGCACGTTTCGGGCCCTCCTAGGGGGAGCCCCACCGAAAGCCCGCGTGGGAAGGTTCGCATGCGCTTCCCCGCTCCGTTTCGGCGCACCCCTCGCACGCATCGTGGCCCCATAGGCAGCTCCACCGCGGGCCCCGGTTGGACTCCGTTGCCATTGCGGCTCCGTGGGACGTCTGGGCTCAAGAGCTCGCACACCTGCGTCGGCCGCCTCGTCGAAGGCGCGGGCCAGAGGGGCTTCCGTGGCGACGGCGGCTCTGGGGGCCCCCGTGCGGGCTGCGGTCCGCGGCAGCGTGGACGGAGGCGCACCGCGCCACACCGCCGTTGCCGACAACCTGCCAAACCACCCCAACCCAACCCGAAACCCCGAGATCCGGGTTGGGGTGGGTCCGGGCTTCACGTGTGCTCTTGTCCGTGTTCCCCGACCCCCTCCCCACTGGAAATGGAGAGCAAACCGGGGCCTTCGGGTTGGGCGTGGGGTGGTTGGGTGGGCGGCGATTGCTGTGGCACGCTCCGCCGTTTTGGACGCCCGAAATCGGTACGGAAAAAATGGGTACAATGCCCAACAACAGATGTTGTCCCAAACCAGCAGCGGCCGCTGTTGGGCAGGCGGCCTTCTCTCGAGTGGACACAGGCCGCGGCGGCGTGGACAGCGAATCCTGTTCAAAATGAACAGGAACTGCTGTTGGGCATCGTACCCGCTCTTCCCGTACCCATTTCGGGCGTCCGGAGCCGTGTCGGCCGCCGCACTCGCGGCCGTGTCGGCGCCACGGGAGGCGGCTGCCGCCGGCGACGGAAAGCGCCCAGGAGGGGGCTGCCCCGTCTGCCCTCGAGCGTCTGGCGCTGCTCCGGGCGCGGCGCGGGCGGCGGCGCGGGCGCTGGCCGAGGCGCGCGGGGCTGCGCGTGCTGGAGCGGGGAGGGGCCGTGGCGGTGGAGGCTGCGGTGGAGGCAGCGGCGCACACCAACCGTGCCCGCGGCCGCTCCCCAGGTCGGCGCCGACGGCGGCGCCGGCATCGAGGTCGACGACGACTGGGCAGACGCTGCAGCGCCGAGGGGGGCGCAGGCCGCGCCTTGCTCGGGGTCGCGGCGCTGCGGGGGGCTCAGCTGGTGAGGGCGGCGTGCCGCCTGCGGAGGGCGGAGCTGGCCGTGGCGGGGGCACAAAGACGGGAGTGCTGGTGGCGCGGACGCGGCGGAAGCCCTCCGGAGCAGGGCGGCCTCCCCATTCGCCGAGTCGGGGCTTGCGGTTCGACTGCGAGCTCCCGTCCGACGGCGCAGAGAACGGCACCGCGCTCGACACCCTGGGCGGCCTCGCTGCTGGGATTGTTTAGGGGGAGCGGAGTGTGAGGAGGGTGGGGAGGTTGAGGAGGGTAAGGAGGAGAGCGCGAGGCTCGCGCGAAAACTCGATGTGAAAGCCTCGCGCGCGCGCGCCCTGGAATGCCGAGTGCCTCCACAATCACCCGTTCTCCCTTCCTCCTCCTCCTCCTCCTCCTCCTCCTCCTCCTCCTCCTCCTCCTCCTCCTCCTCCTCCTCCTCCTCCTCCTCCTCCCGCCTCCTCCTCCTCGTCCTCCTCGTCCTCCTCCTCCTTCTCATTTTCCCTCCCCCACTCCTTCCCTCCTCCTCCTCCATGCATTGTCGTATGGATAACTCCTCCATGTCGCA